ATCCATACTGTGTGGTGAAGGTAGGATTTAAAGTCCTACATTATCTGCATAATTTTCCAAACAATGAGTTCATATTCCATTCATTTGAGGTGCATAATAAATGAACTGCTATAACATAAGTTGTCAAGAAAGTAAGGGAATATAACTCTTAATACAATTCTTCTGAGGCCACTGTCTAATAAAGACCAAGTCATTCATTATACAGTCATGTTCAACTTATATTGGCCCACCCAGCAATAACGTCAGTCGTGTAATGTTCAACTCGCTTCTTTAAAGCGCACGCATGGCAAGCCGTTTTCATATTTATTACGGAAATACAGATATCTTCAATTGTTTTAAAGATATCTTGAATTGAAGATATCTTGAATCGAATTGAACCTATCTTGAATGGAACTGAAGATATCTTAAATGCAGATAATTGTAGATATCTGCAATAAAATTTAAGATATCCCGAAATGAATTAGGATATGGTGAAGCGTATTACTGATATCTTGAAAAGAATTGCTGATATCTTAAATTCGATTACTGAAATCAAAATATGATTTAAAGATATCAAAATGTCATGTTTTGTTATGATGTCAATAATTCAATTCCTAATATCTTGAAACTAAATACAGATATCAACAATTTATTGATATCTTCAATTGTTGCCATTATTAAAGATGTTACTTAAATTAGAAAACTGATATCAATAATTGATATAAAGATATCAAAATTATTGATTTCTTTAATTGGATTTTTGATATCAGTAATGGTGAGACTTAATGATATCTCTAATTGAATTAAAGATATCTCTAATTGAATTAAAGATATCTGTAATGCATATGTGGATATGTATAACTTATTTCAAGATATCTTCAATTGAATTTAAGAGATCTTGAATTTATTTCTAATATATTTATGTACTGTAGGATGGTAATTGTTTAATGATATCTCAAATACATTTAGAGATATCACAAACTAATTTGTTGATATCACCTAACATTTAAAGATATCAGTAATTGTATTATGGATATCAGAAATAACTTTAAGATATCTTTAATTACTTTTTTATATCTTAAAAACATTATTGATATCTTTAAATAAAATACCGATATCTTTAAAACAATTGAAGATATCTGTAATTCCGTAATAAATGTTAAAACCGCTTGCCATACGCACGGGTATTGCAACCGGACGTCATATAATTATTTTAGTGGATGCATTACGTCTCACATCACGTGGCTGTCACCTGACACGACCTGTGAAGATTCCGGGGTAGAATAGGTCTTCAGGAACCCATGCTTGCCGTAAAAGGTGACTATGCTTGTTGTAAAGGCGACTAACGGGATCGGGTGGTCAGGCTCGCTGACTTGGTTGATGCATGTCATCGATCCCAATTGCGTGGATCGATGCTCATGATATTAATCACTGGATTGTCTGGTCCAGACTTGATTATTTTACAGACCGCCGTCATACAGCTGGAATATTGCTGAGTGCGGCGTTAAACAACCAACCAACCAACCAACCTGACACGTTCTAAACTTGTCGTCTGCTGCTTTTGTTGACTGAGTGACCGACAAGCCGAGATGAGTCGTAAAAAAAAGTAATGAGCTAGGCGTGCCTGTCAAAGACATAATTGCAGAAAATTTTGAAAGCAGTAGAAGTCAGAGACAAATTGCAGATCTCTTGAAGATTCCTTTGATCTACAGTTAGATATATTAATCATAAATAGTGCCGCACTGGATCCGTCGAAAATCTACCTTGGAGAGCACAAAGAAAATCCATTGATGCACGTGATCGCACCTCGTTAATAAGACTCACGAATAATAATCGACGAATGACTTTGAAGGAAATTACCAGTGAATTTAATTCAAATGAGGATCAGGTTTTTTGGAACGAAGTGTCCAGCATGCATTGCACTCTGAAGGAAACTTAAGACAGATTGCTAAGAAAAAAATGGTTGTGCGCCAGGTGAATAGAATTAAACATGTTTCATGGTGTAAAGAGTGGAAAAAAGAAAGTGTAGATAATTTCTGGAAAAAGGTGATATTTTCAGACGAAAGTAAAATTGTTATTGGTACTGAAAACCAGGTGTATGTATGGAGGAAGTCCGATGAAGCATACAGGCCAGAGTGTGTGCCCACCCCAGGGACATAAGGTGTCTTTGATGATATGGGGTTGCATCACTTTTAAGGTTGTCGGAACTTTAGTTCCCGTAGAAGGAAATATAAATGCTGACAAATAAATGGTTGTAATTGACACTAATTTGTGGCCAGTTATTGCCAGTCATTTTCACGAAGAAGATTATGTCTTCCAAGACGATTATGCCCCTATACATCGTGCGGCAAAAGTAAAAAAGTAAATGGAAGACAACCAAGTAAACACGATTGAATGGCTAGCTCAGTCACCTGATTTGAACATTATAGAAAATTAATGATGATTATTCGATGATTCCAAAGCGGATTTTGCATGTTATAAAGATGAAAGGTCATCTCACAAAATATTAAAGGCATGTGAAAATAGATTTTAAGTTATTGACTTTGAAAGACGAGGTTGCTAATGTAAACAATGTGCCGCCATTTTGAAGGTGGGCCAATATAAGTTGCACATGACTGTAGTTGTAAGGAAATATCATATTTTGGTGTAGCAGATGCCCCTGAGCTCCATACAGTGATGGACTTGTTTGGGCAAAGTTAAGTGTCTTTGATTATTCTTAAAACAATGATTTCTCATTATTCAAAGTAATTCTTATTGTGTACTGAGGTGAAAACATATTTAATAAAAATATTAATTGCATTATACACGAGTTACCTCCCTTTCATTCAATTTTTACAGTTAATGCTCAACACCTATCACAGTCATTTATCCCGTAATAAGTGTGTATTTTAATCTTCTTCTTGTTTTGATAAAACCTTTTTTCAATGGTAGATCTAACCATCAGAATGCAACATTACACAGTCGTCTAGGATCCCTATTCTAATGTAAGTAATCTTCTATGAAAATTACAAGTCGTCACAAAATGTACCGCTGTCATATTTTTTCGGTCACATTTAACTCATACAATCTTCAGTACACACTGGTCACGAATATGGATTTGAATAAATGATATTTTCTTAATTCAAACAGCCACTTTCAACCTAACGTCCCTCAACAACGTTTTATCAGAAGTTGGTTAAAAAATAATAGACGGGATAGTGAGTAACAGCACACCAATTGCACATATTATTTCTCAAACTCAAATGGCCGCCATTTTGATGTCAATATAGACAAACTCCAATGTCATTAAAATCAGATCTTAGTTCTCACTATTGCTAAACAAAGATCTGAGGACATCCCATTACGAGTCACGTCAGAATGACCTTTCATCCGACCAATCAAAGCATCACTTACCAGAACATGAAGGTGACAGTCAGAATGTGTTTTCAAATCATGCAACCTCAAAAACGTTAACACGGGGTATTCCGAATGATAGTTACGGCTCGTATGACTGATTCCGTCAAGATTATCGTCTATCTATCGCTTCTGTGGGATAAACATTTGAACAGAGGTGGTGTTGCACAGTACGTGGGAAGCACCGCTATACAGTCGCAACCATATATTAGACATTCCGGAATGTGCGTTTGTTCAGTTTTCAATGGTCGTTTCAATGGTCGGTCAAAGTTCGTGAAAGATTGTTCTGACATGACCCTTAATGGGATGTCCTCAGATCTTTGTGTAGCGGCATTGAGAACTTAGATCTGATTTAAATGAGATTGGACAAACTTGGTATTTGCTATTTGTATTGTATGAATGTATCATACTTATTTGACATTTCATGTATTAATAATCATGAACCAAAAAGATACCCATCTTCCCGAGGCAAGGGAGTTAACTGACTTCAAAGGTCCAGTTTCCACCCTTGCCGAACTAGGCTGGAATTACTGAGTTCGATTGTAGTGCCATCAGTGGCTATTACCAGTTATGTCCCCTCTAAGCCTCTCCTATGGACCAATGAGATTCCGCCTCTCGTATCACTTGCATTTGCTTCACACAAAATGATGGCACCCAGTCCGGACGATCTGATTGATAATCAAGATCTATATTGTGATAATCGCGAAATGCATCAAATCACGTGAGCACCTTGATTAAAAACATGAAATGATTTGGAAAATATCTGTTGACAATGAGTTGGCGGTGCACATGCTTTGCAAATCCTGCAATTGACCGAAATCTGCATGACAGTTTACGAACTGGATTTCGATTTCGGTGTGCCATTTTGATTGGACTAAGGATAGACTCGTTGGTCCAGCCAAAATGTACCTCCATAATACCAGCCTAGTTCGGCAAGGGTCGAAAGATGAAGGATACCTGAATAATATTAAGACGTTTGATTATCTGTCCTGGTTTATTTTTCAACAGGTATTCTTTTCAGCATTCAATTCCAAATTTCACTTGCCGATCACTTGTCAAATTGTACCCGTGTCCAACTCATGTTTTGCTCTCACATGAAATAGACATTTACCGTGATACCTCATGCAGACAATTGAATAAAACTACCACCGATCGAGTATCTCGGGGTAAGTTCTTATATCCCCAACCGGTTATCTTTATGGGTTCACACAGTTGCAATGAGAACCGCCAAGACAAAAATGAAATTTGACCAAGACGATATGATGATATCTTGACCATTCTGTCAAATTGTCCGATTGACTATTTCCACGAAATAATTTGCCAACTTAGCATTGCATTTAGCGCAGAAGACCCTAAAGACATAGGCAATGTATTAAACTACGTTGAGAATAGACCTGTTAAGAACCGGGGTAGAATAGGTCTTCAGCAACCTATGCTTGCCTCAAAAGGGGACTATGCTTGTCGTAACGGGATCGGGTGGTCAGACTCGCTGACTTGGTTGATGCTTGTCATCGATCCCAATTGCCTAGATCGATGCTTATGATATTAATCACTGGATTATCTGGTCCAGACTCAATTATAAAAAGACTGACGTCACATAGCTGGAATATTGATGAGTGTGGCGTTAAACAACAAACCAACCAACCAACGTTGAGAATAATCTCAAAAACGTCATTGAGTGTTAGGCAAAATGTTGTGTCTGTTAATCTGTATATGACAATATAACTCAGTGTTGAAGATTAGATTCACCTGATTCATTTTATTTCTGAGATGAATTTAGTATTCCGATAAATTGTTAAAACCATCCTACTGCAAAATGTTTTTAAATTAATCATTCTTTTAGAGTAGTATATGTTATGGTTAACTGGTCAAGTGTTTAAAAAAAATGAAGAGTTATCACCCCTTGACCATCAGTAATAATAATTATTATTGCATTTGTCAATGGACAACAACATATACAACAACTCCCATTTTGAATTGTCATCATATACAAATATTTAAAACATAATCATTACACCTATCTGTGTGTGTAAGAATATGAATTTAGGCTACAAGAAATACTGGTTATGTACCATGTCAATCTTAAAAACCTTTTAGAAACAATTAACAAAACATGGTAGGGTGTTTTCGTGCACATTATTGTTTATGACTTTTCATGCTGCAACTACAAAGTTGGCCAAGATAGGGTATTACCTTGCATTAACATGCAACTGTTATTAAACTAGTAAATAGTTTTGCTGTATGAGGTGTTATTCCAGTATTATCAGTCCATGATATTTTATGCTCTGCAAAGGTTGACAGGTTTTTTTACTGCGTTGCTAGTATTTAAAAAAAACCCATTTCATCCCCTAGGTACACAATGTATTCGTTTTATGTTGGGAGTTTCTCATTTGACACTTCATGCTGCAAAGCTTACCAAGAAATTTCATTGCCTTGCATCAAGACCTATCTGTTATTAAACAAGTAGGTAAAGTGGCTGTATTAGGAATTATTCAAGTAGTTTCAATCCATGATATTTTATGCTCTGCAAAGTCTGGCCAGGGCCCGAGGTTATAAAAAAAATTTCGTGCTCAACTCAGTTTCGTGCTCAAATACATGCTCATGCTCAAGTTCGTACTCAGTTGAGATTTGTACTCAAGCAGAGGTTATAAAACATCTTGAGTCTGTACTCAGCTGAGAACAACTCACGCTCAGCTTGAGCATGCTCAAAGGAATCTTTGTTTATGATATAAGCGGCAATTTGGAACTCTTCCGTCAAGAATGGTAAGAAAACAACCCGGATGTTGTCGTCTGCTTATTTACAATGGCAACGGAGGGCGTGACCGAATCGAGAAGGCGGGGTAAGGGGTGGTCAGAAGCGGAGGAGGTTTGTCTCATACAGGAAGTCGTTCAGCGAGAGCAACTGTTGTTCGGCGAAATAAAGGGAAGCGGTGTGAAGTCCATCCATCGACAGCGGACCGATGGATGGCAAAGCATCACGGATATCCTCAACACGTAAGTTGTTCATATGTTATTGTTGTTTAATATCATTTCCAGCATGGTACGCTATATCATCGCGGTAGTTAAGTTATAAATACGTCTTGCGCAAAGTGTTCATTCAACTTTTATGACACAGGATTGATCGATGCTGATTTTTTTAATGTGTTCGGTAAAACAAAGTATACCTGTCATAAGCGAGTAAAAAAGTAAGGGGGGGGGGCTGTGTCTAGGGTCAAGGTCAAGGGACATCCTCCAAACAGTTTTAGTGGATTCTTTTCCAAATAATTTCGAGTGGAGGTTGGGGTAATTAAGTTATAAAGTTCTCAGGCGTAGGCGTGACATATCGCAACGAGTCCTGTATTCGATCATGCGTTGAAATGTGGTGCCCATGCAGATTTGCATAAGTAAACAGTCGAAAATGTGATTCTTCGTTGCATTAACTTTATTGTATATACTGGTAATCTAAATGGAGACATGTATTTTCATGGGCTTTCCCCTCCACAATTCCCTGACTGTGAAGAAGAAAACATGTTCTGTATATTAATTTTCAAATTATATCTCTTCTTTTATATACTTTCAGAAGACACATCAATGCCAAAAGGGAGGCTATTGAAGTGAAGAAGAAGTACTTCAATTTGAAACAAAGAGGTACTCTTTTATATTAGAAAAATACTAAGAGGCATATTGTGTCAACATTGTTACTCCATCATAATGTATTAAATGGTTATTATATTATTGATGAAACACATGTTTATCCCTCAATAACACATGAACACATGTCAATGAAACCCAAATTTAATATTTCAATATATATGTTATTGTTACTGAACTAAACTGCAAGTTTGTATTGTAGCTAAAAGCAAGATCGACGGCCTCAAAAGGTCAATGGCCACAACTGGAGGAGGGCCTCCACTCCCAGCACTGTCCAACGCGGACGAGGTCCTCTGTCAGTCTTTGGAGGGGAGGCCAGGTATTCATGGCCTAGAACATGGCATTGACACTGATGGTATGGGCAGTTCAATATGTAAAAGATTAATGTAACTTTTAAAGCCAACTATTTCTCATTAATGTTGGTTATGGTGAGACCTATCACCTGGGACAATGTATTTGGATGACAAAAATACTTATCAAATATAGTACAAACAAATCAAGTACTGACAAAAGACAAAGGAAACAACAACAAAAATTTCAGACAACAACTTTTTTATGCCTGTGATCAAAGTAATGAATACATTTGTTGTGAATTGCACTTGTACAAAATCATTCAAATAATGATTAATATTTGTCAGATAATCAAATTAATCACTCATCACAATTTCAGTCACAAATGCAATTGTTTTTGTCAATTCTAACCCGAAAATTATTAAAATAGCTGCATTACTGTATTTTAATATTCTGTTCACTTCAGTCATTCATGATGGCGATGTAGCTGCCGCTGCACCAGAAGGTAATACATATCATCATATGTCTGAATACTATTAACATGTATTATTATACATAATCACATCTATAACATGGGACATATATCTAATTACTCTCAGTCTGTGGGTTGTCTCCCTTATATAGGTCATGTCTTGAACATAATACCAAAATTTCCAACATGTATTGTAGAGCATAGTTTGCTATTCCTGTCATAACATTATTGTCTGAGCTGACACATGGTATACAATCAATGTAATTATTCTCAATTAATAACATTAAAGTATAACTTTATTTTGTGACTTTATTGAATGCTTAAATATATAAATGTCAGAAAATGATACAATAATTTTTTGCATTTGTTCAATGTTAAAAATTGTATCCCCTTATTTACAGGTCTGCAAGGTGAAGCACATCACATTGATGAGCAAGACATCCCAGCAAAAGGTACATCAGAAGGATCTGAGTAATATCTGTAGAACATATTACTATACTAAATAATCAACATTTTCAGAGTTTATTTCAGTATATTCAAGATTGCAGTTACAGATCAAATTTATGTTTGCATAATCCTTCTATAATACTAGTATAATACTAGTATAATACTACTACTAATAAACTATGACCTTTGTATGATTTATTGAAAGCATAGAAATGAAAACACTCATAGCAAGATGCTAATACATGTATTACCCCAAACAATACATTCACTGTCTTGTCAAAAGCTGAAAATACTAAGAGACAGGAAATATATTCGAATTATATTTATGTCACACTAACACCCATAATGCTATCAACAATACTATACTCCCAAAGATGACGCAGAGTACACAAGTCAGTCTCATTATATTTACAGACAAAAAGACCGGGCGCAAACGAAAAAGAACACAAGCTGAGGCAACATATGACAACACGATACAGGACACGGAAAGGATCAAACTTGAACAGAGGAAGCTGAAACTGGAAATTGAAGTGTTAGAAAAAAATCAAAAGAAATTAGACATTGAAATTCAAATGCTGCAGAGGAAATCAGTCTACTACCAACTAAAAATGAATGCGGAATTTGGTGTTTCTCTTGTCGAATCATGTCCAACTGAAGAATAATTATTATCAAAATTACTAAAGAGAGTTATGTAGAAATGCTAACTCTTTATCTTGTTCAAATTTAGAAATTAAGAAACAAATATGAATTGAATTGCTCTGTCACAATGTGCAATGTTAGAAATTTGAACTAGTCCTGCAGTTCGTGCCAAAGTGTCCACTTGTCAATGTATGAAAGAACTTGTAGACATATGCCATTTTTCAGGTTTCTGCTATATGTTATCATTGTAAGGACTTGTTGACTAAAAATGGTAGTTTCTACCGTAGTATGTGCTTTATATTATAACATTTTCCCACTTTACTTGCCGTAAAAGGCGGCAAACGGGATCGGGTGGTCAGGCTCACTGACTTGGTTGATACATGTCATCGATCCCAATTGCGTGGATCGATGCTCATGATATCAATCACTGGATTGTCTGGTCCAGACACAATTACTGTACAGTCCTCCGTCATATAGCTGGAATATTGCTGAGTAAGGAGTTAAACAACAAATAAATCTGCACTGTTGGCATGGCCAGACTATACAAATTAAATATTGTTCCATTTTGTGCACTGCTTGTATCTGAATAAAACATTGAATGACCAAATTGATTATGTATTCAAGTCTGTCATGACATATCTGACTTACTGAGCAATACCACTCACACAATCATTAAATGAGATGATATACATTTGAAATCACAAATTCAGATAGATTAAATTGTAGTGAATAAATGTTCCTATGCTTATCGACTAAAAAATGTTTGAATAATGTGCCGTCTCACATCAGCTCCATCATTTGGACCTGTAACCGGTGGCACATAATTATTCACATTTGAAGATGGAGGCATTAGATTTTCATCATGATTTATAATATCCCCCCTTTCAATACCCAAATTATGCAACACAACACATGCAACAACATAGGTCACAGCCTGTCTTGGGGTCGCCCTGAGCTCATTGTGCAGGCACTGAAACCGCCGTTTCAGGACACCAAAGGTCTGTTCAATGAGCACTCTTGTCCTGCACAATGACCCATTGTAGCGTTCCTCTGCACGGTTGGTGGGGTTCAGTAGAGGCGTCAGGAGGAACCAACGACATGGGTAGCCAGAGTCCCCCAGCAAAAAACCTTTGTACTGTCCTTAAACATAATAAAATAAGGTTATATATTATTGAAAGAATAACAGATTGTTTTATGATTTGAATACTGGTAAAAAGTACATATAATGTATGAATAAAATTTGTCTCATTAAGAATTGAAATATTTCAATATTTATCTTGAACATGATGAATGAAATAAACCTTTTCCCAGGAACAAATACATTCATCCTAATTAATGGAATTGTTTAGTTAAAAAATAACTTGTGAGAAAAAAAAAAATGAAAATGAGGATATGAATCCAATCTAATTTATTAATTAAAATGGGTATGGAGATTCTGAGATTTTATGCCATGTCTATCCAGGGTTCCAAAGCAATTGCCCTTTGTATGTCACTTCAATTCAATGAGATGTCATACAAAAATGTCTGCATATTGATTTAAATTTACATCTTAACTTATAATTACTATTACAGAAATGATTTTATATTATTTGTAACAGGATAAACTATATGCTTGTTCACTTGCAGAATACTTTCACCAAATTGTTCTAAAAACGTGTCTTACCATTTTCAAATTGCCTGCACAGTGCTGACGTCCGGAAAATACGGCTGTCATGCACCGATCCCGGCCAGCTGGCGTTGCAACTTGTGATGCAGAAATTTGCATCACAGCACATCTGTGGGATAGCAAATCAGAAATTTAAACTCCAATTTACAATACATACATAAGAATTACAAAAGTCATACATCTCCCCACCCCTAAACCAACACATACATTATAACGAATAGTTATGGAGTACAATTATGCCCATTTACCTGTACATTCAGGGAATGGTAACCTTTCCGGTTCACGAAGTCTCCCTCGTTCGTGGTAGGCCGCTGTATCCGGATGAACTTCCCATCAATGCACCCTACTACGTTAGGGAATCCTGTAAGTAAAACGTGTCATGGTGTCACAATAGATAGCATACTGCGCTGGGCAATGTTTACTAGTTTCATTTACAGCCCATCCTAAGATCTATCGCTTGATTATAATTTTATTTTATTTATATACATGACCTCGACCTCTGACCCATTTTCTTTTTACTGACCAATCAAAATGGCACTGACGCGAATCACACCAATGAAATCATTTATTTGTGTTTACATTGGGAAAATCCCATGTACGTACCTGCAATGTTGCCGAATGCCTCCTTCGCTCGTACGGCGTCTCCTCCAACTGGGAATTTAATAAACCTTCCTGAAAGTTTGGAGATTTGCAACGAAACTGCACGTAGGCTGTCCCCAACCAGCAGATGCATAGCGCCTGTCGCCAAAAAGCGAAGGCATACCAGCAACTGTAACAGTGGTGGAATCGCACAGTTACGAGCTGTCTCTCTGGTCAGATCGAGTAGACCAAGTAAATATATTATAGTATTTGGCCTAAATCTGTAACGGTCAAAAACTTCTTCGACATCTAAATCTTCCAGCGGGTTAGAACGATCTCGAAAGACTCTCGGAACACGGGTGTTCCGCCTCGCTTGTCGCGTCTGTCGCAGGTGAGCTGCCATTGTTGTTGTCGAACTCAGCGTTGAGCACGGTCCAAAGCGTACTTGAGATCGTACGGATTTCATGCTCAAGTTGAGCACGAAAACGTACTCAGATTATTTATAACCTCCGTTTATTGAGTCTGAGTTTTGAGTTGAGCACGAAACCGGATTTGAGCATGAAATCGTACTCAGGGAAGTTTTATAACCTCGGGGCCAGGTCTTGAACCGCTTTGCCATTATTTTTATTTTGTATTCATCGCCTATGTACACAATGTACATGTTTTATGAGGGAGTTTCTCATGCTTATCTATGACATTGCATGGTGCCAAGATATTGTTTGCCTTGCATCAGCAACCAACTGTTATTAGACAATGTTGTCATTTTGTGTAGTTTAGTTGAATAAATATTATTGCGCCCTAACCGGAGTTGTTAAAAAGAATTATTATTTTCAAATGGTTCCATACTTATATTCATTACATTGATTTTTTTTTTTATTGCTGAAGATATGAATGTAATCATTGAGAAGGAAAAAAACCATTTCATTTCACTTCTGTTCAATGTTCTGACAAAGTTTATTCCATGGGTCTATGAACAGAAGAAATAAAATAAAGGGTTATGCAAAATTGTTACAGACAGAAATATGTATGTTTATATGTTTACCACTTTTGCAATACAATTAAATAATTGAAATATTCAGAGGATGTTTCCAAGAGGCACAATTTTCAGTTTGATGCAGTCTTAGAACTTAACATGAGGCTGAGGCTAATACAAATCCTCCGGGCAAGTACAAATTTCTAAATTTTTGCATTGTTTTCACATTACAAAGGCATATCTTTACCCAGGCTAATAAAGCTTTAGAGTTTAGTTCTAGCCCTGTTTCTCAAATTCTGTTGTGATACCTGATAACTATATCAGACAAAAGATTTACAAGTACCCTTTCAGGGTCAATCACTCATCCCTGTCCTTATAAATGAAAAGTCAAAAAGTCAACTTACATTTAAAAGAAAAATGTATTATTATTAGCTCACGGGGAACAAAGGACCAAGGTGAGCTTATGCCATGCCGTGTCGTCCGTACGTCAACATTTTATTCAAACAACTTCTTCTGAACTACTAATTAGAAATTAATGAACTTTGACTGGAACCATCCCTAGGTGGTGGGGATTCAAAATTGTACTAATGGTGGTGCTGACCCCCCAAGGGGCTGAGGGTCGGGGCCAAATAGGGGTAATTTGGCTATATTGCTTTAAATGACTTCTTCTCTGGAACTAAGACATAGATATCAACCGTATTTGGTTTGAAGCATCCCTAGGTGGTGGGGATTCAAAATCTTACAAATGGAGGGGCTGACCCCCCAAGGGGCTGTGGGTCGGGGCCAAATGGGGGTAATTTGGTTATGTTGCTTTAAATAACTTCTTCTCTGGAACTAAGACTAGTAAGAGATAGATATCAACCGTATTTGGTTGGAAGCATTCTCCGGTGGTGAGAATTCAAAATTGTACTAATGGAAGGGCTGATCATACGACAAGGGAGGTCAAAATAGGGGTAATTTGGCTTTGGTGGGGACTCTTAATTGGAGAAATGGAGGGGCTGAACCCTACCCTCACCCCCGGTGACTAAGGGCTGGGGCTAAAAAGAGTTTATAACTTGGACACAGTTAAGATCCCCACTGTATAACCATATGTACAATTGCTGAGCATAATGAGAGGAATGCACATATGCTACCAGGACTGGCCCTTCTGTTCATCTGTCCAGCACTCGCAAAGGAGTTAGAACCTTGACCATAACATGCAAACCGATATTATTCCCACCCTATAATAAACAGATACATTGTATACATTTGTTTGTTATGAAGAGAATAATACATTTATGCCAATAGGATTGCGTAAATATCCAGGTGAGCGATAGACCCTATGGGCCTCTTAATAACAATGGCATAGGTACAATTGTATTTACAAATGTCACACCGTGATACAACCGAAAATACTGTTTAAAGCGGTGTTAAACTTATTGCTCTCAATAATAATCTATTCTTTGATTGTAACCAGAAGCCCTGGAACATCATGTATGAAATGATTGAAAGAACATAAGAAATAATTTGAGAAATGAGATGACGTATACCCCTCCCATGGTATGATTGTACATGTTTACCACAGAAGGGATCTTCAAGGTCCGTTCCTTAGCATCAGGGCAGTCTTCCATACTGAAATTAACTAATATCTCATTACATGTCACAAATAACATCTGAATATATTAATTTGATAACAGAAACATTACATATTTTTCATTATAATTTTATTATGATGTAATGCTCTAAAGAATAAATGTCTTTGTGCATTGATTAAAAATATCTTAACCATGGTGTACCAAGCGTTGTCAGCATGGTTACAATCTTCCTGTCGGGCCAGAGCCAGCAGTGGGACCTGGACCTTTGATGTCGCTTGTCCTCTCGTCAAGCCCCTCTTGACGTACGTTAAAGGACTTGGGCATCTCTTGTCTCCGGACGGCTACAGTACCTGTGCAGAAAGTGCCTTTTGTCATATAAAGCACGACAAAGGCCAGGACTGCAAAAGTAACTGTCCAGGGTGACGTGATGGCCCTTGTTGAGATGAGGCTGCATCAGTTCCATGACCACGTGGTGTCCCACATTCTGATTCATGCGTGGTCTGGCACATCTGTGTTTCCTGACCAGGGAGGCCTGGAACTGATGAGTGTAGCAAGACTCAGACTCAGCAAGAAACCACATCTTCAAACCCAACTTGTCTTTCTTCTTATTAGCCAGGTACTGCTTCAGTTTGTGTCTCCCCTTGAAACCAACGACCCTCTCATCCACACACACATTTGGACCAGCCTGTGAAATATACACACACATATGTACATAATGCATTTAACATGTTTTCTAATGATGGATACATTAAACAAATAATCTCAATCCTGATTGATATTAAACTTATCAAAACCAATATGAATGGCTTGATACACATGATGTTTCTTAAGTTCACTTAGAGATCTTGGAATAATACACATAAACTTGTTTACATTCATTTAAAACAATACATACTGATAGTTTGATGCAAATGACTTGATGACATTGGTTTGAACTTGTTGAACTTGTTGAGGAGCTCATCACCAGGCTGTCTTCAGGGAGTTGGCTCCGTGTTATCACTTGCATGAATCACGTGGAGCAACAACTGAAAACAGTTTCTTGTCATCACCTACCCGAAGCCTGGTGTCCTGGAAAGTTGAAAGAAATCATAAGCATAATTTATGAAGTAATCACTACAAATATTATTATTATTTTACAAAAAGTGAAATGCATGAATCAAACAAAAATAACTAGAGTATAACCAAAACTCCTGATCTTCTATTATGTCATTTAATAAAACCTACTAATGAAAGGGAGAAAAACAAAACATGAAATTTCAACTCTCAGTAAAATTGCAATCAAATGCAATGTTATCAGTTTGTGACATCATGAACAATGGGTGACTTCACTGTATAGTGTTCACTGTCAGCAGCTGAGCAGTATGATTTAAACAATATTTATTTCCAAAGAAAGGAATGAGATTGGTGAACAGGTTAAACCTGTTTAAACACCTATCCCTACAAAGGACATTTAACAATTAATAAGAGTAAACTGTACATAAAATAATATATTTAGATTAATTGTACGTACTTTTGCAAATATTATGATGTGAATATACAAGTCACACAAAAACACACAAAAACACACAAAAACACACATACATATATCGGTACATAAACAAAACAGCATACCAGTATATAGAGCTGAAACGATAACTTGGGACACCGATGCATCGCGATTCACTCCATGCGATACGGTGCACGATTTGTGAGGTGCTGTATCTCGATTTTTCACAATATCTTTTTATAAATAAACTTTTATCACAGATACGTTTTAAATGTGTTTTTAATGAATTTCAAATTCAAACTGAGTCATAAAAACATAGGGACAATATTATTTTCGCTACACACACTGACGTCTTCAAATACAGCAGCTATGCTAGCTATGTATATCAGTAGCAGTTCAAGCTTTCTGATTGGCTGAGCGGTCTCTAACTCAAACATGTCGGGGGGGAAAATGTCAACCTTTGCTAGCAAGTTACTGGTACTTGTCTAGTCATGTAGGACTGTTACTTTTGTGTTAGCTAGCCATTACATGGAAATGGCAGAAGATTCATTAAGTTATAATACTTATTACAGTATATATTTTATGACTCATGAACATTCATTCACTTTCATTTAAATTTTCATTTGAATAAACTAAGTTTAATTCATTTATCTCTTGTCTTCTCTTTTCACTATGTGTATCATAGCGTATTGAGATATGTATGGAAACGTGATGTAAGTATTGAGATACATATTG